CCGATAAATTTTAACTTACTCACTCACTTTTGATTATGTTGACAAATTGTTGGAAGTTGTGATGATTATATGCTGTAGTTGCATGTAAACTACATTTATGACCCTCCAAGGAATCTAATAAAAGTGTGCTATCCTAATTTATGTGTTCTGGGTATAAATTCCGACAAACTATGTTGAACATTAAGGTTCGATTTCCGAGGATTCGCATTGATTACAACCTTATTGTGTTTGTACTTTATGTGCCGCCTCCGTGGTAGAGCGTCCTCCGCCCGGAGAGCGGAAGGTCATAGAGGTCCGATCCCCAACCGCGTCATACCAAAAGACGTCAAAAGAAGTTACCCTGCCTGGCATTCGACATTAAAGGTCTAAAACAAGGAACTGTCCGCTCGGTGTATACTGTGTCTGAGTTGGGTATTCGTGTTAAAACAGCGACATGGCATCTCAGTGGGCCGGCACTATTAATATCGCCATTTGGTCGGACTAGTACAAGCGGTAACACACACGTGCATGCACATCGCTATATAACGCAAATAATGTTGAACGCAACATTAAACCCAATGTTACGGTGAAGATGCAAACCGCATATATGTGATAAACAACAGTGAACGTTAAATTTGTATGGTTTTAATTTACTTAGGGGTGCGTGACATTTAATTACTGTAAATTATGTGAGAAAATGAGTGAGTTAGTATGGTTTTACGCCGCTTTTAGCAATATTCCAGCAATATGACGGCGTGGGGGCACCACAAAGAGGCTTCACTCATGTTTATCCACATTGAACAGTTACTGTATGTACATCTATGCTGGTCAAGGAGAGTTACTGTATGTATGGTTATGCTGATGGAAGAGAGGGACTTACTGAATGTATGGCTATTTTCATCGAAGTGACTTACTGTATGCTTGCAGGATATTATCGAGTGTCAATATCCGCCAATACATTTGTCATGCACCGATGTACCAATGTTCTGTCCGCTTTAGCTCACTTAACTAGCCTTAAAGTGCAAGTAACGTGCAAAAAACGATTGCGATTATGTTGTGAATATACTTTTTCATAGCTACAGTAGGTCAATTCGAGAGAAATTTAATAAAGAAATTCGTAGAAAGTATTTAAACGTCCAAGTGAAAGTGGTGATATTACACGCTCCATTCCCAGACAAAACTATTTGGTGTTGCTGCAATGGTGCAGCGGTGAGAGATAAATGGTTCAATTGTCTGATATTTAGACTTGGTTGCAGAGTCTGTGTACTATATAATCTATTTTGTGATGCTTAGCAGACAGAAAGACGTACAGACATTGTATTACAGTCTCACCTCATATTTACAATATATAAATAATGCCACAAAACCCTTTCCATATCCAATAGAAATCTCTGCATAAAGCAGAGTTGACTGTACGATTTCGACTATATAATGAGCACGCGTTTATGAATCACTACCAAATAGTAATGATACCAGGTGTTCGCGAAATGGTGAACGTATCCTGCCCCACCAGTGTCACCCATCACAAACACATGCAAATGCAAGTCAACTGTTCACCTGAAAATAATAAGGAACATGTGGTACAAGTCAAAATTGGGAATTGTCTTGGACATCTTTTTTGTCACTGATGTGTCAAATTTTGGAATGTCCTCCACATGTCTACCATTAAACTTTTTAAAAGCTTTACTGAGGCCTTGAATGTTGTTGCCTTGATCAAACAACTTCTATTCTCCCGGATCTACACGGGTGCCAATAGAAGAGGCGCCACGCCCATGGGTACATACATCCCAATTCATTGAAAGTAACAATAGTGACGACCCGTGAAGATTCCGGGGTAGAATAGGTCTTCAGCAACCCATGCTTGCCGTAAAAGGCGACTTTGCTTGTCGTAAGAGGCGACTAACGGGACCGGGTGGTCAGGCTCGCTGACTTGGTTGATACATGTCATCGATCCCAATTGCGTTGATCGATGCTCATGATATCAATCACTGGGTTGTCTGGTCCAGACTCGATTATTTACAGACCGCCGTCATATAGCTGGAATATTGCTGAGTGCGGCGTTAAACAACAAACCAACCAATCCTGCAAAATAACCTGAAATATGAAAGTCCAATGATTATTGTTTCTTCTGAAAACAGGAGCCATGTTTATAATTAGAACTTCCAGCGAGATGGGTATTAGAAAACTTTGCACCTTAGTTTTTAGTATTTACTGTGTGGATCATAGCTCTTCCGGTATCGACAAAAAAGGATTCTTTTTAACTTCTTTTAACTGAAAGTCACATACTGCAGTTTAGGTTATGGTAAAATTATCTTTTTCTGTTTCGGAGATTAGGTGTAAGTTGGTTTGTTGTTTTACGCCGCACTGAGCAATATACCAGCTATATATGACGGCGGTCTGTCAATAATCGAGTCTGGACCAGACAATCCAGTGATTAATATCATGATCATCGATCCACGCAATTGGGATCGATGACATGCATAAACCAAGTCAGCGAGCCTGACCACCCGATCCCGTTAGTCGCCTTTTACGGCAAGCATGGGTTGCTGAAGACCTATTCTACCCCGGATCTTCACGGAGAACAAAAAAACATTGTCGTAGAACCTCAAACCAAAAATACCTCCTTCAAACGCAATCAGCATGATTCATACTTCCAGTCTCTAGCTGACGAAGGTACAAAGCTAATTGTAATTGTCACTTCCTTATAAAAAACTAGCAAGGTTATTGCTCTATTTTATACGAGATCCTCCATCGATGTTGGTGGGGAGATTTTGTGTGTGCCTACCCTCCGTCGGGAGCGGAAGTACTCATTGGACAATCATTGAAAAAAATATATATTAATAAACACAACTAAACAAAAACATTGCATTTATCAAACAGTGAGAAGGGTTCCTGTTATGGCTTAAGTTATCACTTCATCTTGAGCAATATTTCATATTGCACGATTTTACGTCAGGTTCTTAGTCGATGTAAAGGCAATTAGTTCAAGTATTCTATTGACGCTTCTTTCTTTGTGTCAAAAGAAGCGTCAATAAAAGATGTATGATTGGTTCATTTGCTGTTTTACGCCGCACTCAGCAATATTCTAGCTATGACGGCGGTCTGTAAATAATCGAGTCTCGACCAGACAATCCAGTGATTGATATCATGAGCATCGATCCTCGCAATGTGGGATCGATGACATGTATCAACCAAGTCAGCGAGCCTGACCACCCGATCCCGTTAGTCGCCTTTTACGACAAGCATAGTCGCGTTTTACGGCAAGCATGGGTTGCTGAACACCTACCCCGGATCTTCATGGGTCTGCACCGATGTACCGATGTACTACCCCAAATAGCATTCGCGGCCAACTCGTGTTATTCAGCAGGAAGCAGAGTCTGTAAGTCCCCATGATCCCCAGTGAGGTGGTCTCACGTTTGTTGCTGGTGGTTTATAGCCTATTTCTAATTGATACCACTAGGTACATAGTGAGTGAGTGAGTGAGTTGGGTTTAACGCCGCTTTTAACAGTATTCCAGTTACATCACGGCGTGTCAGCTTAATGTGGGAGGAAAGCCCGAAGTGATGCAGGTCTCAGACGTTTACCACTTCGGTGAAACCCACGAGCACGGGTATGGTGCTGACAAACTTAGAAACATAATCGGGGCGAACCGGGATTCGAACCCAGATTCAGCATAGATAAAAGCTGCCGAGAGAGCACAAGACGTGGCAACACAATGCAGTGAAAATTGTGTCATTACATTACGATTCAAAACGGATGTGGGGGCACGGGTGGCCCAGTCGTCTAAGGCGCCGCGATTCGCTGTGCAGAGTTGCGTCCCTTGGGCACGCCAGACACCTATGATTGTGGATGCGAATCCCGGTTCGCCCTGATTATGTTTCTAGGTTTGTCAGCACCATACCCGTGCTCGTGGGTTTCACCGAAGTGGTAAACGTCTGAGACCTGCATCTCTTCGGGCTTTCCTCCCACAGTAAGCAGACACGCCGTGATATAACTGGAATAATGTTAAAAGAGGCGTTAAACCCAACTCACTCACTCAATCACTCACTGAAAACGGATGTGTTATGCTCAGGAATTTTCATCGAGTATTCACGATGTGGCATTTCATTGTGTTTGATATCATTCGAGGTGAGGTGAAATGGGGCTTAACGTCGCGTCCAAGATTATTGCACTTATATAGCGACGGGCATGCACGTGTGTGTGTGGCTGCTTGTACTAGTCCGGACTGATGCCGATTTAAAGTGCCGCAGTTTAACGTGAATACCCCCACTCAGACACAGTATACTGACTCCGAGCCGACCAGTCCTTGTTTGAGCCCCTTAATGCCGAGCGCCAGACAGAGTAACAACAAGTACCATCTGTTAACGTCTTTTGGTATGACGCGGCCGGGGATCGAACCCCGGACCTTCCGCTCTCCGGGGGGGACGCTCTACCATTAGACCACGGAGGCGGTCTTGATATCATTAGAAGGTGAACAGTGCTGATAATAGGAGAAAACTTCCATGAGAAGCCGGTAACGTGACATTGCCGTCACCTTCTACACAGTGAAACCCCGTTAATCCAGACACTACCGTTCACTGTGAAATCCTTTGAATAAATTAAATTCAGGATAAACGAATCAGTCTGAACATAGTTATGTCATTAAATAGTAACATTCTCAATAGTTATGATTCAATTACCGGGTTTCTGGATTAATGAGGTTCCGACTAAGCATGTTTCACAATGTTTGAAATATTCAGTGTTTCGTCATTGCATGTTCCTTAAAGCATACAGGGCGGTCGGGTAGCCTAGTGGTTAAAGCGTTCGCTCGTCACGCTGAAGACCCGGGTTCGATTCCCGACATGGGTACAATGTGTGAAGCCCATTTCTGGTGTCCCCCGCCGTGATATTGCTGGAATATTGCTAAAAGCGGCGTAAAACCAAACTCACTCACTCACTCACTTAAAGCATACATGTAGATTTGGCTAATTATGTGAGTACGTACGAACAGGAAATAAATCACTTTTCCAATTCAAGTCGCGTCTGTTTCAATCCGCAAGGAAGTTAGACGTTAACTATAAGGCACGTGCTTCGTTTGCAAAAAAGGTGAGTACTACTGAAACAATCATTACAACTACCAGTTACCGGCCACTGGTTGCATGGGGTTGACGATTGAGATAACGCTGGCTTTCGCAGTACAACGCTCATTAGAAAACTAACATGGCAGATCAAATTCAACTGGTTATGCTGACAACCAAATGTGTCTTCCGGGTTTGTTGAGCGACCTCTCAGCATTTATATGATTTGATCTATGTGCTATTGATTCGAGTTTGGTTACAAAAGCATAATTACTCATCTACACGAAGTCCACAAGCTTGTACTAAGATTGCATGTATGCCTTAGAATGTGATTTCCAAATAGTCTTATATTATAGTCTGTTAATCGCTTTTCGCCACACAGCATCATTCAAGCTTTATGATGGCGGCCTGTACATATACAAGTCTTGCCCCGACAAGCCTCTCCTGTCCACGGGATCACGTACACTTGTTACTTGACATGATCAGATTGATACCGGTCATGTCACATGTACGTGTATTCTCGTGTTTGTCGATGCTTACAGAATCCTATACTTCGTGGAAAATGGCACACTACCTTACTAAAACAAGCGTTTCCTCGATTGGTTGGTTGGTTTGTTGTTTAACGCCGCACTCAACAATATTCCAGCTATATGACGGCGGTCTGTAAATAATCGAGTCTGGACCAGACAATTCAGTGATTGATATCATGAGCATCGATCAACGCAATTGGGATCGATGACAATGCATCAACCACGTCAGCGAGCCTGACCACCCGATCCCGTTAGTCGCCTTTTACGATAAGCATAGTCACCTTTTACGGCAAGCATGGGTTGCTGAAGACCTATTCTACCCCGGCTCTTCACGGGTCAGAAACAAAAACCTAGAAAGTCAAATGGTTCTAGCTCAGTTAATAACATAATTATCTGTTTGTGTTAATTTATACCCCGTTTATGAATATATTGCTGAAGACCTATTCTACCCCGGAATCTTCACGGGTCGCGCGTTTCCTCGATCACAAACGTGATAGTAGTGTATCGCTGCCTCTGCATTTTAAACATATGTGTACATTCTATTGTAAATTACCAGCACACACACTGGTTGCGCCTTTCTGTGGGAGCCACTTTTCCGCTTGTGTGTGATATTTAATGGGGCAGGGTGGGCTTAGAACACCTGACACACTTCTCATTATGTTAACTTCAAATGCCATTCACAAGCTACACACGGAGTAAATCGCGTCCTGTTCACAAAGCCGGGTAGCATATTTAGATCCTGGTCTTCTGTACATACGGGTAGGGCATCTGTAACAGTGTGCGGGATTATATCATAATTTGTGAGTGTGTGTGGTTAAAAGCCGCTACTAACATTACAGTCGAGCCTCTTTGTGTCGAACTCCCGGTTGTCTCGAATGAGAGACCCAAGTGTCCAAAAAATCTCTTTTTCATGACGTTAGAGATTGACGTAAGGGTGTATTCTGGTATGTCACTGTATTTGAACATCTTTGGTAGACGTCATAGTACTAAATGGCGTTATCAATGGAATGAGTTAGAAAATGAGGAAGATATGTATATGCGCGCGATTGTATCAGTTTAATCAAAACTAAGCACAATAATGTACAGAAATTATGACAATGTTTTAAAGATGAAAGTGCTAAAAAATATTGTTTGGAAAGTGTTAAATATTATTCATCATACTTTCATACGAAACTGCTAACACGGTACCTCCTTACAGTCAAGTGGGAATTTCCGCGGCAGAAATAAATGTACATTGTGTAACAGGACGCAAAATAAAACCACTTCTATACAAAGCATAAAGGTCATTCTGACACCTGCAGCCAAAGTGAAACTAGCCGACTATTCAACAACGTGTGCCGGGACAACAAGAAGGCTAACGGTTGGTTGGTTGGTTGGTTGGTTTGTTGTTTAACGCCGCACTCAGCAATATCCCAGTTATATGACGTCGGTCTGTAAATAATCGAGTCTGGACCAGACAATCCAGTGATTGATATCATGAGCATCGATCCTCGCAATGTGGGCTCGATGACATGCATCAACCAAGTCAGCGAGCCTGACCACCCGATCCCGTTAGTCGCCTTTTACGACAAGCATAGTCGCGTTTTACGGCAAGCATGGGTTGCTGAAGATCTATTCTACACCGGATCTTCACGTGTCCGAAGGCTAACAGATGTTGTATATACCAGTATATATATCTTCAAACAACATTACAACACTGTGAAGATCCCGGGTTAAATAGGTCTTCAGCAACCCATGCTTGCCGTAAAAGGCGACATGCTTGTTTGTTTGTGTAACGCCGCACTCAGCAATGTTCCAGCTTTATGACGGCGGTCTGTAAATATTTGAATCCAGTGATTGACGTCATGAGCATCGACCCACGCAATTGGGATTGGATCACATAATCAACCAAGTCACCAAGCCTGACCACCCGATCCCATTAGTAGCGTCTTACAACAAGCATAGTCGCCTTTTATGGCAATCATTGGTTGCTGAAGACCTATTCTACCCCGGCTCTTCACGGGTCAGAAACAAAGAACTAGAAAGTCAAATGGTTCTAGCTCAGTTAAAAACAAAATTATCAGTTTGTGTTAATTTATATCCCGTTAAATATAAAAGTCCCTTGTTTCTAGTTTTGATTACGTCAGGTGTTCAGGTAAACAGACACTGACTACATTAGATTGGTTGGTTGGTTTGTTGTTTTACGCCGCACTCAGCAATATTACAGCTATATGACAGCGGTCTGTAAAACAATCGAGTCTGGACCTGACAATCCAGTGATTGATGTCATGAGCATTGATCCACGCAACTGGGATCGATGACATGCATCAATCAAGTCAGCGAGTTTTGACTAGGTGATCCTGTTTGTCGCCTTTTACGACAAGCATAGTCGCCTTTTATGGGAAGCATGGGTTGCTGAAGATCTATTCTACCGCGGATCTTCACGGGTCTAGTAGTAGTAGTAGTAGTAGTAGTATTTGGCAGAACTTCAACCTTTGATCATTATGTGCCCATAGCGCCAGTTGTGTATGTCTCATGTGATGTAATGAAGAGGCTGTGGGGATGTCTGTTGCATTGTGACATGTGTCAGCACTGGTTTTCAGTGATCCATTCATATAATTTGCACCACTTTTTGTCTTTTACCCCTCGGCAGACAGTCAAGACGTATTGTTCCAAGGCTTTGGCATTATATGTTCTTTCTTTCGTTCTCATTCTTTTTTAACCTTGTATTGCCTTTTTCATTTTACAGAACTATTCAAGTGGGTTACAGATCCTATTTAGTCTATCATATGTGCTCAAAACATAAGTAATATCAAAATTAGACTTTGGTCGTAAATACGTGCATTGATGTTATGCTCTGCCTCACTAAACTTATACTGTAGTATAGAACACATCCTCTCTGAGATAATTTCTTTGTTTCAGGCAATGACAAGGAACTCCTTTCTCGCAATGCTGACTATTTGGATGGCCGTCTTAGGGTTGCCCTGTTCGGCCAAGATGTACGACTTCAACAGCTGCATTTACAACGAGAACGATCGAGATATAGTTGCCAACTGTTCGAAAGGAAACTTCACTGATGTGCCCCAAGGATTTGTTGAAAACGTGACTGTCATCGACTTGTCACAGAATGAAATAACAAGCATTGAGAATATGTCCTTTCCTTATATTTTGAAGGTACACACACTCAGTATGTATTGGAATAGTCTTACTCATCTAGACAGAGATTCACTCAAGAACTTACCACACCTTTCGAAACTTGACCTCAGAGGAAACAAGATAAACTGTACGTCTTCATCGTTACCGCCAGGCCTCTTCAGAGGTCTTCCACTTAAACGCCTTTTATTGAGTGACATGAACATAAATCAGATTTATGATGATTTGGAGTATGCAGTATTTCATGATCTCAATCAACTCGAAGAACTTGCTATCGATTTGCCTCCAAACCCAACATTTGGTGTCGGATTTGGCAGTTTGACAAATTTAAGCACTTTAACCGTTAGGTATTGTCAAAGGAATAACCTTAATACAAGTGCATTTGAGGTTTTCACAAAATTTAATCTTACAGCATTTCAGATAAATGCATGTAATAAGGGGCAGGTAGATACAAATATAACTGATGTGTTTCCATATTTAGATATCTTAGATATTAGGAACACAGTCAACACTGATTTATCTCAGCGATTGATAAATCTCAATAATTATGAAAATGCATCCATGCAACGAATTTCTTTCTTAGCAAACACCGCAAGATATGGAGACAGAACTGAGCAATGTTTCACGCTATCCAAAAAATATACACGTTTTCTTGTCACAATGTGTGTTTCAGAAGTGTATCTGGTAGGCAACAGAATACGCATAATTGATGGAGGAGCTTTGATTCAACCTCCATTTTCCCAATGCCTTCGTGTTTTAGATCTCAGTCACAACATGATTCTGGAAGAGTATCATCTACTTCAAACCCTTTTCTTTTTCACACATTTGGTATCATTTCACTTTGAACAATACGAGAAAGATCTTAAACAATATAATGACTATATATACAATTTCTATGACTCATATTCAATTTTTCAAGATACGAATGGGATGGTATGGCCAGAAAATGAACCTCAAACATGTGTTTTCTCAGTCAGTGCTGAGACACGAGACAGTGAAGTCAATCCCCAAAGTGAAAGTAATGTACCAGCGTATCTGATGTTGGCATTTCCACGAAACCTAACCTCACTTTATTTTGCACCAGCATTAAGACCTTTTGTTGATATCAAACATGAAGTGTATTTCCTTGGTACTGAAAGGTGGTCAAAAGTTGTATTTTCTAATTGTTCAGTAGTTGTATATAATGTTACTAGTATCTTTGGAATGAGGAACCTTCAAAGCTTGGAATTTTCCGGAAATGGATTTATTGGATCCCCAACGACATTGATGAAATCCTTTCCCAACATTAAAAATCTATCATTAAATCGTATCACAAAGGGATTTAAGTGTATCGATAACAACATAGAATCGGTATTGGGGCACTTTCAACATCTTCAGAACCTGCATCTGTTAGATAATGACCTTACTGATTTGCCAAGAAATGTGGAGAAAATAACAAATATCAGATTAATAGATGTCTCGTATAACTCAATAAAAGAGCTGAGTGTGGGAACAAGAAAGAGATTAGACGCTGTGGCTCAGAAGAAAAATATATCGGTTAATCTTCGAGGGAATGTTCTGTCATGTGGGTGTAGTTCTCTTGAATTTATTTCATGGTCAATGGATTCACTCGTACACTTCGTTGACGGTCATCATTACATGTGTCGAAATGATAATGGGGAAATTATTCACATAACAAATATTGCAGATTCATACATGAAAATATGGAGGTCGTGCTTTTCTTTCTTTTGGCTTTTATTTTCAATATGTCTCTTTTTCCTTCTTTTCTTAGGATTTTCTCTAAGTCTTCATATTGCAAGAAATGTAAATTTGTTAAAGCGATGGAGTGTCAAATGGTTAGGTTTGGACTTCCAACTACATTTTAAGTATGATGTATTTGTCTACCATTCATCAAAGGACGACCGTCGGTGGGTGTGCAGCACCTTGAAGCAAAAGCTGGAAGATGAAAGAGATCTTCGTCTCTGTATTCCGGACAGAGACTTCGAGCCCGGAGTCTACACGTGTGAGGAGGTTCTGGGCGCCATCAACAACAGCTGGAAGACTATAATCTATCTGACTCAGACCTTCCTGGAAGACGAGCTCTGTTCCTTCAGGCTTTCTTCTGCCGTTTATCTTGGCGATAATCTGAAATCTGACAGATTTATCATCCTTTTTTCGGACGCGGTCTTCCGTCATCCATTGCCACCTATCATTAATCAACTTCTGGATGAAGATAACAGGTTTCCTTTGGAGAAGTTTCATAAGAGTTCCTTATGGGATCAGCTTCACAGCAGGATACTGAGTAAGGATTGACAATCGCAATGGAGCCTCTGGTGACGGATTCAAGTAGTGTATAGAGGGGATCATTCTGAACATTGTTATGAAGTGTTACTGATAATTGCATACGTTTTTGTAAATGTATGTCAGAATTAATTGCTCACACTAGACATATTGTAAAATAATCTGTGCTCCTGAAACATAACATGTTTCAGTTGATTATCGTTACACAATGACTGGCGTTAGCGATGATATCAAGTTAATCATGAAATGTAAGTTATTCAACTTGCAGTTTAATCATAAACTCGGTTAGGCTTTACTCATTCCGCGTCTGGATAGAACGTCTACCTGGAGAGCAAAAGATCTGAGGCTCGATGCTCTGGCCGAAAGACGTTAAGAGAAGTTGTTTCCGTGAATGGCGCTCGTCAATAAGGGAACAAAACGAGGACTGGTCGTCTGTGAGTCAGTATAAAGTATCTGAGTGGAGTGTCCTTGTTACACTGTGGCATGGTATCTTGTGCAGATATTGTGTACTTTTTTTCGCAAGGTTCTACCCTGTACACTTCAAGCCCCCTCTCCACCGACAGCCTTCATATGAAAAACGAGTGAGTGAGTGAGTTGGGTTTATCGCCGCTTTTAACAGTAATCCAGTTATATCGCGGCGTGTCAGCTTAATGTGGGAGGAAAGCCCGAAGTGATGCAGGTTTCAGACGTTTACCACTTCGATGAAACCCACGAGCACGGGTATGGTGCTGACAAACCTAGAAACATAATCGGGGTGAACCGGGATTGGAACCCACGATCATAGGTTTCTGGCGTGCCCAAGGGACGCAACTTCGTATGAAGAACGAGTCCCACTTACCTTCACAAATAGTAAATGGTAAGCAGTAACGAAGGGACTGTTTCGATGTATCTGCTGTGCTTTAAACATTGTTAGGGGCGGTCTGGTAGCCTAGTGGTTAAAGCGTTCGCTCGTCACGCCGAAGACCCGGGTTCGAATCCCGACATGGGTACAAAGTGTGAAGCCCATTTCTGGTGTCCCCCGCCGTGATATTGCTGGAATATTGCTAAAAGCGGCGTTAAACCAAACTCACTCACTCACTCACTTAAACATTGTTAATGTAATTATTATTTGCGGTTCGGTTTTGATTGTTTACATTGTACATTGTTTACATTTTTATGGGGTGAGATGCGAGGTTTCTTTACCCTCTGGCATTGCCGTTGGATGTCTGAGGCATATTCTGAGTGTCACCCACTGAACTATGGTTTGAACGGGTTGTGGAAAAGAGGTTCTACTCCCTCACCACTCTTTATTCCATGACATGTTGTTTGTTTGTTGTTTAACGCCGCACGCCGTTTAAATATTCCATTTATGTGACGGCCGTCTGTAAATAATCGTGTCTGGGCCAGACAATCCAGTGATTGATATCATGAGCATCGATCCACACAATTGGTTTGTTGGTTGGTTGGCTGGTTGGTTGCTGAGTGCGGTGTTAAACAACAAACGAATAAACAGCATAGTCGCCTTTTACGGCAAGTATGGGTTGCTGAAGAACTATTCTACCCCGGATCTTCACGGGTCCCACGCAGTTGGGATCGATGACATGTATCAACCAAGTCAGCGAGCCTGACCACCCAATACCGTTAGTCGCCTCTTACAAGCATAGTCGCCCATGACATGTTATGGGTGGTAATATATAAGTACCGTTAGAGTCATGTCAGTGCCCATTATACGACCTTGTGTATTTAATGTAACTTAACTGCGATAAATAACATTTATAAAGAATTTTATTTACAGTATTTTTTATTTTGTGCATGTTGGTAAATTATCCGCCAATATTTTTATGTATGTTTTCATTTGAAAATGTGATTGTCCGTGGCTGCACCCTCGAAGGGGGTTGAAGTGTAAAATTATTGTCCCCCTGAGAGGGTATGTAAGACCACGTCTTTCAAAGTGTATTTATTGTTACCACGTTTTTAATCGTAGAATATGTGTTGTTTTAATGTTCGGCTTATTGTGTAAGCCATCGCCAACATCTGAAGGGATGGTGTAAATCCTGCTGGAGTCCATGCAGGTAGCAAAAGTACTGTAAGTCCCCATGGTCCCTAGTGAGGTGATCTACCTTCAGTTGCTGGCGATCTATAGCTTTTTTTATATTGTATCGTTACGTACAGTGACATCTTTTTATGGCTGTATACTAGTTTTAAATAATATTCTGTGATCTTCTAGTTATTTTACTGTCCTTTGTTGACAGGCTTTAATTGTTTAAATGTATATATTATGCATATTTTTTGTTAGTCACGATATGGCTGAAATACTGCCGATGTGACTATAAATTTTAACTCACTCACTCACTTTTTAGTATGTTGACATATTGCTGGAAGGTGTGATGATTATATGCTGAATCTGCATGTAAATTACATTTATGATCTTCCCAGAAATCTAATAAAAGTATGCTATCCTAATTTATGTGTTTTGGGTATAAATTCCGACAAACTATGTTGAAGAACATTAAGGTTCGTTTTCCGAGGATTCGCCTTGATTACAACCAGTCCTTATTTTGTCTGTCCTTAATGTGACGCCTCCTTTGTCTAGTGGTAGAGCCTCCGCCCGGAGAGCGGAAGGTCATAGAGGTTCGATCCCCTACCGCGTCATACCAAGAGACGACATAAAGGCATTCGGCATTAAAGGTCTAAAACAAGGAACTGTCAGCTCGGAGTATACTGTGTCTGAGTGGGGTATTCGTGTTAAAACAGCGGCATGGTATCTCAGTGGGCTGGCACTATCAATATCGCCATTTGGTCGGACTAGTACAATCGGTAACACACACACACACACACACACACACACACACACACACACACACACACACACACACACACACACACACACACACTTGCATGCACGTCGCTTTTTAAGCGCAATAATCTTGAACGCGACATTAAACCCAATGTTACGGTTAAGATGCAAACCGCATATTTGTGATAAACATCAGTGAACATCAAATTTGTATGATTTTAATTTACTTAGGATTGCGTGACATTTAATTACTGTAACATATGTATGATAATGTGTGAGTAAGTATGGTTTTACGCCGCTTTTAGCAATATTCCAGCAATATGACGGCGTGGGGGCACCACAAATGGGCTTAACTCATGTTTATCCACATTGAAGAGTTACTGTATGTACATCTATGCTGATCAAGGAGAGTTAATGTATGTATGGTTATGCTGATCAAGGAGAGTTACTGTATGTATGGTTATGCTGATCAAGGAGAGTTACTGTATGTATGGTTATGCTGATCAAGGAGAGTTACTGTATGTATGGTTATGCTGATCAAGGAGAGTTACTGTATGTATGGTTATGCTGATCTAGGAGAGTTACTGTATGTATGGTTATGCTGATCAAGGAGAGTTACTGTATGTATGGTTATGCTGATCTAGGAGAGTTACTGTATGGATGGTTATGCTGATCAAGGAGAGTTACTGTATGTATGGTTATGCTGATCTAGGAGAGTTACTGTATGTATGGTTATGCTGATCAAGGAGAGTTACTGTATGTATGGTTATGCTGATCAAGGAGAGTTACTGTATGTATGGTTATGCTGATCAAGGAGAGTTACTGTATGTATGGTTATGCTGATCTAGGAGAGTTACTGTATGTATGGTTATGCTGATCAAGGAGAGTTATTGTATGTATGGTTATGCTGATCAAGGAGAGTTACTGTATGTATGGTTATGCTGATCAAGGAGAGTTACTGTATGTATGGTTATGGTGATCAAGGAGAGTTACTGTATGGATGGTTATGCTGATCAAGGAGAGTTACTGTATGTATGGTTATGCTGATCAAGGAGAGTTACTGTATGTATGGTTATGCTGATCAAGGAGAGTTACTGTATGTATGGTTATGCTGATCAAGGAGAGTTGCTGATCGAAGAGACTTATTGTATGTATATCTATGCTTATTGAAAACAGTTTTTGCATGTATCCCTGCGCTGACCAATTGCAAGAGGAGTTATTGTGTGTCTATTTATGCCGATGGAAGACAGTTACCATATGTATGACTATACTTTTCAAAGTTTTTTTTTTGTTTTTTTTGTTTGGTTGTAATATTCGAACTATATGACGGCGGTCTGTAAATAATCGAGGCTGGACAAGACATCATGAGCATCGATCCACGTTTTGGGATACGATGACATGCATCAACTAAGTCAGCGAGCGTGACCACCGTATCCCGTTACTCGCCTCTGACGACAAGCATAGTCGCTTTTTACGGCAAGCATGGGTTGCTGAAGACCTACTCTATCCCGTATCTTCACAGGTCTTTTCCAAGTGAGTTACTGTATGTATGCAAGTCTATGCTGATCAAGGAGAGTTACTGTATGTCTGTTTATACTGATGGAAGAGACTATGTTATCGATACTGATAATCAGGGTTTCACATCGGTTCCTTTCCTTGGACATTGACTGATTGTCATCCAAAATGACCTGAAGATATATGCAAAATCTGGTACTGATATAAAAGCATTTCCTTTAAAAATCATATAAATGTCATCTGGCCAGTTGTCTCTTGCAAAAGCACTGAAACCAGATACTTTTAAGTTTATTCCAATTTATAAGAAACGTTGAAACAGTAATACTATATAAAACCGCTAATATTCGTTCATAGTACAGAAAATTTCGACTAAAAGAACAAAATGTTAGGGTTTTATCAATACAAACAGCCTCACCCTACATACTGTTGGCGTTTGACATGACTCTCGGTAATTAGTCAGTCAACATGTTTCTATTTGTTTTTAATGTTTATCATTCCATCCTTGAGACAACGGGGTAAGGCAGACCAATACCGTCTCTCAGTGTGCGGGATTTTGCGTCAGTCATGGCGTAACGTGGTACGAATTCTGTTGACTTTTCGAAATCATTGTCAAATGATCTTATTATTAATCCTAAATTCTTTCAAAAATTGTCGTCCCGTGCACATTGCCAATAACCTGAGCTAATGTATGCAAAAAATTGACGAAAGGATCTCTCGAAATAGACGAAAATGTTAACATGCGATACTAGATAAGGAAGAGAATATATTGATGTCAACTTCTTTATTATGAGGAACACAACGTTTAGGAGTATATGCTTACTCCTTCATCGGGTGAATGAATGCTATGAGGCAGAGGGCATATGTATGTACATGTAAGGACAACAAAAGTAATAAGATAACAGAAGGTGAAAACTTAACAAGGGAAGCCAACAGATAACTATCCCGTTAAACACCTCTTACGACAAGCATAGTCGCCTTTTTACAGCAAGAATGGGTTGCTGGAGACCTATTCTAATCCGGATATTCACGGGTCTCCAAACGATATTGTTCCAAAACATTTACTCGGTGTTTTTGCCCCCCCCCCATGAGGAAAAGTTGTTTGTTCATACAGTAGTGAACATAAACTATAAAGAAGAGGACCCGTGAAGATCCTGGTTAGAATCGGGCTACAGCAACCCATGCTTGCCGTAAGAGGTGACTAACAGGATGGATTGGTCAGAATCGCTGACTTGGTTGATGCATGTCATCGATCCCAATATTGCGTGGATCGAGGCTCATATCAATCACTGGATTGTCTGGTCCAGACTCGATTATTTACAGACCGCTGTCATATAACTGGAATATTGCTGAGTGCGGCGTTAAACAACAAACAATATAAAGAAGAGATAGGCAATTGGGACGCTTTGTCTTCAGAAAAATGATTAAATGTGAAGTAATACGCACAAAAGCCCCTTCTCTGCAAAACAAACAACAACAAAGCTTGGGGCCTATTCTAATCTCAACGTCCCCCCTACAAGATGTAATCTGGCTCTGTGATTTACTTGAATGCGCCATCGTACCTGAAGTCGTCTAACTTTTTAACGTTGACCATTACAACAATCACTGGACTGTCTTGTCAAGATGCGGCTATATACAGACAGCCTTAAGTCCGCTTGCATATTGCTGAGTGCGGCGTTAAACAACAATCACTAAAATCATACGACAGACTTGGGTTTCTGGGGACCAATTATTCCCAAGAGTCATCGATTGTTAGTGAGTGAGCTGGTCTTAGTTGCGTTTAAAACAACAGAAAAATATAACAAACTGGCCGATATAATTCAAATAAGTGTTTCATTTGTCATATGTCAATATGTGTAACAAGCAGACAATATATCTAAGTAGCCATAGCAAATATTAAGATGGAATATGAAGAATGATATTAGTCAACGAAAGCATGACAAGATATGATTTAAATGTTGGTCTGGAAAATGGAACAAATATGAAATATATTAGCATTGGGTCAAAAAATACAAAAGCAGATGATACATGAAACGTGACGAGGCATGAATTAAACTTTAGACCTGAAACTGAAACAAATTTGACATATATTAGTTGGTTGGTTTGTTTGTAGTTTAACGCCGCACTCAGCAATATTCCAGCTATATGACGGCGGTCTGTAAATAATCGAGTCTGGACCAGACAATCCAGTGATTAATATCATGAGCATCGATCCACGCAATCGGGACCGATGACATGTATCAACCAAGTCAGCGAGCCTGACCACCCGATCCCGTTAGTCGCCTTTTACGACAAGCATAGTCGCCTTTTACGGCAAGCATGGGTTGCTGAAGACCAGTTCTATCCCGGAATCTTCACGGGTCCATTACATATATTAGAAAACAAATAAAACTCAATGGTCCTACTGAATATATGAAGTTTGGTCTGGAAAGTGAACAACTTTGACATAAATTAGCAAACAATAAAAACTCAATGGTCATACTGAATATATATGCATGTCAGTAAACACATACAAAGTAAGACCCGTGAAGATTCCGGGGCAAAATAGTCTTCAGCAACCCATGCTTGCCGTAAAAGGTGACTATGCTTGTCGTAAGAGGCGACTAACGGGATCGGGTGGTCAGGTTCTCTAACTTGGTTGATGCATGTCATCGTATCCCAATTGATGATTTACAGACCGCCGTTATATAGCTGGAATATTGCTGAGTGCGGCGTTAAGCAACAAAGAAAGACAGACATACAATGTAAACAATTAATCTTCTACACATACTAAAACAGTACAATAACTCCCTATAGGTGTCACATTTTGTAAGTGTCACAAATTGCGCAGCTTATAGTTTGTTGACGACCACAGATTTTAGATAATCTTGGTACTTTCTATTGTAATAGGACAATGGTCATGAAAAACAACTGTGTCTACTTACTATTAATTATGGAGGATGGGGTTGTCCGCTGTCTAGATTCTGAATCGTCACGGAGAGATGAGTCATCTGTATCCTCACCTGGAAGTGGAAACCAAACACTGGCTGAATAGTGTGATGTTGTCATCAACTGAGATTATTAAAGCGGGCTGGTTAAAGTAGTGTAAAATTATTGTCCCCCTGACAGTGACACGACACGCAATTGGGATCGATGACATGCATCAACCAAGTCAGCGAGCGAGCCTGACCACCCGATACCGTTAGTCGCCTCTTACGACAAGCATAGTCGCCTTTTACGGCAAGCATTGGTTGCTGAAGACCTATTCTACCCCGGATCTTCACGGGTCCTAAACCTAACGAATCAAGCGGGGATACTGTTGCTGTCAATTTCAGGAACAAAATCAAACTTTATTTTAACTTCCATGTTTAATTTATGTCAACTTAAGCGGGTCCACGTTCGGATAATATTTGTTTGGTGCAATATGCTATCATCCTGTCGGCGGGATGGAAAAAAAAGATCTTATACGGAATTATTTTCCGACTTATTTCCACAAAATGTATAGTCGGCGGATCTGTGATGCAAGTAAAAAGTGTGGCCTTATTTGTAATTGGCTGTGTAATTCATAACATAGATGGTATTTCGAGTTCTCGTTAACCTCGACAGAATTGGAATCACTATATGTTCAAGCATGATTCCAGAAATAAACATTTTGGCCCTTTTCTTTAATAACTGTTTGTTTGTTGTTTAACGACGCACTCTGGAAATAATCGAGTCTGGACCAGACAATCCAGTGATTGACATCATGAGCTTTGATCCACGCAATTGGAAAGCGATGACATGCATCAATCAAGCCAGCGAGCCTGACCACCCGATCCCGTTCGTCGCCTCTTACGACAAGCATAGTCGCCTTTTGCGGCAAGCATGGGTTGCTGAAGACCTATTCTACCCCGGATCTTCACGGGTCCATGACTTTAATGAAATAGAGCATGTGTTACCGATAAAGATTCCCTTGAGTCGTGTCCTCAGGCACTCCTTTCTCTGTCGCCTGCCAGAGGGCTGAACAGTGAAGCAGAGAGCTTCGTCGTCCCACTGCCAGTAGGGATCCACCGCCTGGATCTGCAACACGATATTCGTGAGGTGAGACGAGCGTCGCATCCAAGACTATTGCTCTCATATAGCGACGTGCATGCATGTGTGAGTGTGGATGCTTGTACTAATCCGGACTGATGCCGATTAATAATGCTAGCACACTGAGATACCATGCCGCAGTTTAGCAACAATACCCCACTCAGATACAGTATACTGACTCCGATCCGACCTGTCCTTGTTTTAGCCCTGAATGACGAGCCCCAGGCAGGGTAACAACAAGTACCATATTTAACGTCTTTTGGTATGACGCGGCCGGGGATCGAATCCCGGGCCTTCCGCTCTCCGAGTTCGTATATGTGGCCTTAATACATAATGCACAAGTTTCAAACACATAATATTAGTTCACCAAAAAACTGTTCTCTTGCGAAATATATGATACAATAATTCCGGGCAAGTCATTAAAACGTGGTATTCGTCTTCTGTGACATGGCTGTACTGTAAGCCTACAGTATTTTTGTTAGATGAAATCTGGAAAATCTAATAGCTTTGATAGTCAAATCTTGACAGTTACATCTAAATTTTGTTAATATTCGGCGTAAGCTGAATGGTGACTTGAAGCTTGAAATCTGAATAGTAAGTTAAAGATTTCGAATGACCAGTATAGTTAGATTTCCTTCGATAAGATTGGGACAGCCTAGTGGTGCAAGCGTCCGCACGTCAGGCATGAGACCCGGGACGTATATTTTACTTCATATTTTTTTAATATAGCATTGTGGTTATCACATATGCACACACTGTAAACCCCGTAAACAAATAACATAACATCTCATACTTTTGTCAGTACTCAACGATTGGGTAGAACCAGGCTATTACATCCGTGTTGAAATGACCGAACAAACATAGCGCCCCGTGGCCTATATTCTAAGGAACGCCCTTATCAATAATTTCATGGGTGTGTAAATGTATACTTATATATGTCCTGGTTCGTGTCCTTATTTTCTTGTTGAATGTGAGTAAACATGTCCTGATCGACAGAGTATGAGAAACGGGGACGGCCAGTACAAAGTGTTTGTTTGTTTGTTTGTTTAACGCCGCACAATTTTCCAGCATCATGACGGCGGTCTGTAAATAATCGGGTTTGGACCAGACAATCCAGTGATTGACTTCAGGAGCATCGATCCATGCAATTGAGATATGTTTGTTCTCTTAAGCCGCTCTATTACTCCATATGGAGTATTACTCCATATCTTTGGCGGTGGCCTGTAAATAATCGCGCACAGACTAGACATCCGGTGATTGATATCATGAGCAACGTTCCCCACCGTCGGGGTAAGATAACACGCAATCAACACAGTCACTATACAGTCCTGACCATAAGATTCATTAAGTCGGCTCTTACGACGAGCATAGATTGCTGGAGACCCATTCTATCCCGGAATCGGCTTAAAAGCACTGTAATACTGTCCTTGTATTACATACAGGCAACGCTGACTGAGGTCTGTAGCGAGTGTAAGAAAAACAGAGCGTATTGGTATTGATGGCGAGATGGCGATGTATTGTTGATGATGTGACAGATGAAGGACAGGTGACGACGATATGATGATGTTAATGCTGCTGCTTGATGGGAAAGAACTTAGGCAAAGATGACGATTGTTTTGATGGCGATGATGATTAGGTGAGTGAGTACGGTTTTACGCCGCTTTTCCGCAATATTCCAGCAATATCGGTTGGAGACACCGGAAAATGGGCTTCACACCTAGTACCCATATGGGGAATCGAACCTGGGTCTTCGGCGTGACGAGCCAACGCTTAAACCACTAGCCCAGCCAACAATTCTACGTTGTTACAACGTTGTGACAACGTTTACTTTTCGTTGCTACAACGTTGTGATGTTACGTTGTCACAACGTAATTCTGTAGACTCCCAGATTGGTTGCTACAACGTTGTGCGTAAACCAAAATACAACCAAATCAAGACGTTGTCACAACGTCCATTTTTTACGTCGCGACAACGTAGGTATCGCATACTGTTTACATATGGCGACACTACAGGCATTGCAGCACGTTGTTGCAATGTCCATGTAGATTAACGCCTGTTTTATTTCTCAATACCTCCCAGGCAGCCTGAAAAGTTTGTACCAATCTAGTTAAGACGTCAGGTACCAAGAAATACATTCTGCAAACTGAATTCACTTTAACCCTATCCATGAAACAGCAAGTCAATGAAATGCACTCTCTTTTGGCAGAGTTTGAAATATGGCCAAGATATAAATCTAAATGTTTTAAATTACATGTACAATTTGGTAATATAATATTCATTTTCCAAAACAATTTTCAAGGCTATGTGCAAATTGTTCACAAATGTTTCAACACAATTAAAAGATATTGGATTTTCCCACGAATTTGCAAATTAAAAACCATCAAACAATAAGCCCTGCACAAATTGAAACATTTAAATTTTCTTGGCCTTACCTCATATACATTCAGCATTGAGAGCAACACTGTGACAAACAGAATAGTCTATGCATCTGATGTCCTAAGATCCATTAGGTAAACGAAATGACAATAGAATTCTGGTTGAGGTGACCTTTATTTATTTGTTAAATGACAAGTCAGAACATGGGCTGAGTTGCTGGGGAGCCTTTTCAGTCCTCAAATGAAAAGTCACAGGGATGATCTTCAACTGTATCCTCAGTCTCTCCTTATGCCTTGGTAACTGAATAAAAAGTGACACAAATGTTATAAAATGGCAAGGCAAGGGACATATTTCTGACATAACAAAATAACGGTTGCATTCCCCAAAATAATGTTTTGATGTCTGATGTCAGTCTTTAAACTGTTAAAAACTGCTGAAAGTGCGAAGGCGCTGACACTAATACCATGATGCTCTTGGATCATACATAAGCAGAAAAGCTTTTAGCACTGAATCATTGGTGTAACTTTATACCCCCGCCCTTTTAGATTGTGGGTATAATTAAATAAGAATCATCTAAATTTTAATTCTTGAAGATGTTTGTATATATTATTGAATCAGACATACCTTTCTGTCAGTGATATGTACTTTAAACAAATACGCTCCCACAATACTGTTTTCTCCACCTGCAAGAAAAACAGAAACCACAAAGTATCACATTCTTAAATAAACCAGTACTGTATAGATAAATCCCATTTACTTAGACTAATAGAGTATGATGTAACTGATAGTAATATTGGCAAATAGTTTTATCAGTCAACAGATCAACTGTAGTTTTTCAAAAGCAGTAACTTTACCTTTCTGCTGTACACTCAAACTAGTGATTCAAGTGAATATCATGGCCAAGTTTCTAAAACCTTATTTGAAAAATATGTACATAAATGAAAAATATATATTGCCAAATAACATAAATAGTTCCCATATTTGAAGCAAGAATGTTGAATATGAATTATGAATTGGCCCACCAATAAGTGATAAAAGTGTTAACACTTTGGGGTATTTATCCTAATTAAAACTGATTTTTTTTAATACTTAGATCTACCTTAATATTTTCCATATTAATATGCCAGGATAGTTATATATGTTCTAACATTTACAAAGATTAGAAACATGGGGAAATAAACAAAATGCAATAGCTTATACAATACCAGACGAAGTTGAAACAGCTCTAAATATTTATTGAAATTTATTTGTCACTACGTTTATTAACATAGATCTAATACAGTTAAATATCGTTAAATATAATTCTGTAGTATGGTAGCCTACGTGGCAACATATGCAGATCGAAAACCGAAAGAATATGGTTGCTATCAATTCCATTGTATTTTTCATTGGTGCACATTGGCTACACCTATCTCACTTTAATCATCAACAAACGATGACCAACTCACTGACAATATATGGTGATATTTAACTTTTGACTATCGACTAGCTTATCATCACCAGAGAGGACAATACCGCAAACACCCCGTTATAGCGCGCGACGAGAGACTCGTTTTACTTTTGCTCGTTTTCATTAGAAAGGAGTCGGACATAGATCTAGTTATCGGAAAATGATGAATTGATTCTTTTTTCGGAAATAATAAAAATACACATAAGCACCTTGCTATGATAAACTTTATAGACAGCAGCAACAACCTGATGATCCACATTTAGGCTACTTCAGTCAGTGCTAATTAGGCCTTTTCGGAAACATCAAGTATGTTTCTGTCTCTTCCCGAAAATACGATTTTTTTCATAACATCATTGATCACTTTAGACTAGGGCTATAACTAGCAGCCTACAGAGAGTCGATCTGAATACTTCCATTGTTTTGATTCCCTCTTTTCGCTGTATAAGAGAAATCTACTTAACCTTTCCCATGGCCTGGATGAGCCACATTGTTGCACAAAAATCAAAGTCAGAAGATTAGTACATGTAAACTTTAAATAGTAATGATTTCAGAAATAACACAGAAGAAATGGCGATAACTGTCAGTGCGGTCAGTAGGCGATGCATAAGTTAGGCCTATTTACAAATCTACACGCTTACGAACGAAACCCGAACATAATATGACGGCCACAAAACGCCACCAGATTGAATTCTGGTCAAAAATATACCGCTTGCCCTTGGCAATTACCCTTGGTATCCATAAAATAATAATATGGAAAAAAGTCTTGGGCCCCCTTCACCTCTATCATTAAGTTCTGTGTATCATATTAATGTCAACACTGACGCTCAGTGAAAATGACCGGCAAACTGCATTCTTAACCCTGCCACTTCTGAATAATACGATACATTTAGATCATTTGACGCACTGCATGCACAGAATCATATCAACAAGCGGAGACTATTTTTGAAAAAAATGAACTTACCTCAATCGAATTCACAGATCATCTGTCCAGTTCCAGTTGCTGCACAATCACTTGCTTGTAATATATTATGTGCAGAGTGAGTTTGAGCTAAGATGGCTGGTGACAACAAATCTTCCGCGACAATGTGACGTCATTCTGACGTCACTTCACGAGGCAACAGGCTAAACTTTTCTGCAGTCGCTCTCACGCCGCAAAAAATGCGCGCCAATTGTTTTTAACTGTAATATTGCTTGTGACAACATTTAGTTCGTTAATAGATATATATGTTTTAAAAAAAATAACACTAAGAGATGGTAGATCTACAAGTGGTTTCCTAAACATCATTTACAAAAAGTACTGTAATGTCCAAAGCACAACGTTATCACAACGTTAATTTGCAACGTTGTTGTAACGTTGTCACAGATATACGCAATTACGTTCTCGAAAAATTAGTATTAAGAGATGAAAATTCAAATGCCGAATATATAGAAAGGTAATGCATTACTACCTTGGTTTTCTGACAAATTCATGTTGATTTTGATAAAGCAGTTCTATTCCTTTATGACTATCGAGAAGCAAACTCAATAACGTTTCACCGACGTTTCAGAAACGTAGTTACAAAACGTTGTGTGATGTCCAATGCACAACGTTTTCACAACGTGAATGTGCAACGTTGTTATTACGTTGTGAAATAACGTTGCAGGTCGACGTTAAAATAACGTTGTTACAACGTTATATCACGACGTTACCAAACCACAACCTTTCAACAACGATGGAAGTGCGAATCATGCATGTATGGCGAAAATGTTATTGTCATTGTTTGTTGTTTAATCGCCTCTTACAAGCACGGGTTGCTGAAAAGTGAAAACCAAATCTAACATTATTGTAATTTTCTGCCAAAATGTAGTTTATTTCGAGTAAACACCTTTGTTTTTACGCTTTTCGCGATGAAGACTATTTGACGTCGCACCAACGTATGAGAAACGTTGTCATCATAACGTTGCATGGCGCCCGATGCACAACGTTTTCACAACGTAATTTTGCTACGTTGTGATTACGTTGTCACATAACGTTGGAGTGACGTGATAATAAGGTGTTTACACAGACTTTAGTTTATTTACGAGATGGAAATCCTGTTTCCGAAGATATAGGTAAATAATGAATTACTGCCTTGTTTTTGGCAGAAATTGTGTTGATTTGTATGTAAAACTTTTGTTCATACAACTTTTGTTAAGGCGACAGTTGACGTCGCACCAACGTTTCAGGAACGATGTAACAAGACGTTGGGAAATATTCGATGAACAACGTTTTCACAACGTAAAAATGCAACGTTGTTATTACGTTGTGAAACGACGTTGCACAGTGACGTAATAATAACGTTGTGACAACGTTGTATCACTACGTTACCAATTCACAACTTTACCACAACGTTGTGAAAACGTAGTGTGTTAGCTGGGAGGCTACCCCACCGCCCCTGATGATTAGTCAAAGATGACGAATGTAATGATGATGATGATGATGATGATGATGATGACGACGATGATGATGATGTTGATGGTGGTGGTGGCGGTGGTGTTGATCATGCCTCGCATTTTTAAGGAAATAGATCCGGGGTAGAATAGGTCTTCAGCAACCCATGCTTACCGTAAAAGGGGACTATGCTTGTCTAACCGGATCGGGTGGTCAGACTCGCTGACTTGGTTGATGCATGTCATCGTATCCCAATTGCATGGATCGATGCTCATGATGTCAATCACTGGATTGTCTGGTCCAGACTCGATTATTTACAGACCGCCGCCATATAGCTGGAATATTGCTTAGTGCAGCATTAAACAACAAACCAAATCAAGGAAATGCAGTTGTTGACCTTGAGGTTAATGCGGTAACTTACCTCAATCATGTAATGGTCTTGTGTTATGTCATCAAAGATAACTGACCCTTGAGCTGCATTGTTGCTAGCCAGGTTCCGAATCTGCATCAGAATAATGGAACATTGTGTGTTCCCAGGACGAGCACAAGGGTGAGTGAGTTGGGTTTAACGCCGCTTTTAACAGTATTCCAGTTACATCACGGCGTATCAGCTTAATGTGGGAGGAAAGCCCGAAGTGATGCAGGTCTGAGACGTTTACCACTTCGGTGAAACCCACGAGCACGGGTATGGTGCTGACAAACCTAGAAACATAATCGGGGCGAACTGCGATTCGAACCCACACTCATAGGTTTCTGGCTTGTCCAAGGGACGCAACTCTGCACAGCGAACAACGGAGACGAATATAGAAGTGAGCATTCTAGTTCTATTCATGTTGTTTCAATCATTAATCGTTCTTGTACGTAAGGAGAGGGGTTTTAGTTTTTAGGAAATCCCTTTATTGTTTCAAATCGTATTATAAAATGACATCCAAGTTTTGATAATCATACAAGATAATTTAAGTGAACATCAGTCAAGTTCAGTCATTTGATGGGCAACGATTAAACAATTATGTCTTGGAAGCCTAGGGTAAATACGCTTGACCGTTTACCTCCGATAACCTTTATGATAAAATGACTACGTCGGGTCACTGCAACGTTCTCATAGCAGAGTGTGTGAATCATGTTGTTTCTTTGCTGTTTAACGCCGCACTCAGCAATATTCAAGCTATATGACGGCGGTCTGTTATTAATCGAGTCTGGATAAGACAATCCAGCAATTGACATCATGAGCATCGATCCACGCAATTGGGATCGACGACATGCATCAACCAAGTCACCGGGCCTGACCACCCGATCCCGTTAGTCGCCTCTTACGACAAGCATAGTCACCTTTTACGGCAAGCCTGGGTTGCTGAAGACCTATTCTACCCCGGATCTTCACGGGTCTTTGAATCATGTAATACATATGCAAATTTCCTGAAGTTGATGAAAATATCGCGCCCCGAAATTGATACGATACAGAATTAATAAATGAAAATCCATCATCTGAGCTGCGAAACGTTTATACTTCTCCGCCTTTTTCTGGAGCAGTACATCATTACGATTTTGCAGCCTTGTTCGTAAGATTGCACATTGCTTGATGCTACGTTTATCGACCGCCCAACAGGAACGTCATGTTGTTTTACGACGCAGTTATGAATATTACAGACCTATCACCGCAACATGAAAGACAAATGTAGCAATAGTTGCGAGATCACTTAATGTTCTACTTTATACTTGGAACATTCGACCCGTTGAGATCGATAATATAAAGACCGCCGTCATATACATTGAATATTGGTGAGTGCGGCGTTAAACAGCAAACAAACAAACAAACAAAAGAACTATGAGGAACACTTTGCTTTGCGAGTGTTGAGTGTTAGAAGTATGCGACCGGTTTGGGACGATTCACGTCTCGCTTACCTCGTTGCAAGGGGTTGGTCTCTCCGTGTCCAGTATGCACGTCTTCTGTGGGTTATGTAGGTTTGTCATGGTATACAGAGACACGTCAAACTCCTCGAACTGAAACCGGGCTGGGGGCAGGCTGAAGGTGACTGTCAGGTTGTAGCCTCGGAGTCCAGGATTTCGGGAGGTTCTGCATGTTATCACCGGAGTCCAGTTCGCTGCCGTCACTTCTCTGTCAACACATTGGATGTCCCTTACTAATAATTGGTTTGTTTTGTTTGTATGTTGTTTAACGCCACACTCAGTAATTTTCCACCAATATGACGGCGGTCTGTAAAAAAATCGAGTTTGAACCAGACAATCCAGTGATTGACGTCATGAGCATCGATCCACGCAAATGGTATACGACCACCAAGTCTGACCACTCGATCCGGTTAGTCGCCTCTTACGACAAGCATAGTCGCCTTTGAGTGCGGCGTTAAACAACCAACTGTGTCCTGGTTCCAACGACTTAACATGACCGTGGGAATTACGGGTAACCAGTGCTTGTGAGAGGTGAAGTGGATCGGGTGGTCAGGCTCAGTAATTAGTTTGATTCCATGTCATCGTATCCCAGTCAGATGGATCGACGCTCATGATGTCAATATATTGCTGAAATACCGCCGACATATGGCTGGAATACCGCCGACATATGGCCGAAATACCGCCGACATATTGCTGAAATACCGCCGACATATGGCTGGAATATTTACAAGCCGCCGAAATACAGCTGGAATATTTACAGGCCGCCGTCATATAGCTGGAATATTTACAGACCGCCGTCATATAGCTGGAATATTTACAGACTGCCATCATATAGCTGGAATACTGCTGAGGGTGGCGTTAAACAACAAACCAACCAACCAACCTACAGACCGCCATCATATAGCTGGTATATTTACAGACCGCCGTCATATATAGCTGGAATATTTACAGACCGCCATCATAAATCTGGAATATTTACAGACCGCCGTCATATAGCTTGAATATTTACAGACCCCCGTCAGATAGCTGGAATATTTATAGACCGCCGTCATATAGCTGGAATATTTACAGACCGCCATCATATAGCTGGAATATTTACAGACCGCCGTCATATAGCTGGAATATTTACAGACCGCCATCATATAGCTGGAATACTGCTGAGGGTGGCGTTAAACAACAAACCAACCAACCAACCTACAGGCCGTCGTCATATAGCTGGAATATTTACAGACCGCCATCATATAGCTGGAATATTTACAGACCGCCGTCATATAGCTGGAATATTTACAGACCCCCGTCAGATAGCTGGAATATTTATAGACCGCCGTCATATAGCTGGAATATTTACAAACCGCCATCTTATTGCTGAAATACCGCCGACATATGGCTGGAATATTTACAGACCGCCGTCATATAGCTGGAATATTTACAGACCGCCGTCATATAGCTGGCATATTTACAGACCGCCGTCATATAGCTGGAATATTTACAGACCGCCATCATATAGCTGGAATATTTACAGACCGCCGTCATATAGCTGGAATATTTACAGGCCGCCGTCATATGGCTGGAATATTTAAAAGCCGCCGACATATGGCTGGAATATTTACAGGCCGCCGACATGCAGCTGGAATATTTACAGACCGCCGTCATATAGCTGGAATATTTACAGGCCGCCGTCATATGGCTGGAATATTTAAAAGCCGCCGACATATGGCTGGAATATTTACAGGCCGCCGACATGCAGCTGGAATATTTATAGACCGCCGTCATATAGCTGGAATATTTACAGACCGCCGACATATGGCTCGATTATTTACAGACCGCCGTCATATAGCTGGAATACTGCTGAGGGTGGCGTTAAACAAACAAACCAAGGACAACTCACACCAGGACCAATAAGAATGTCTACTGAATTGTGTTACCGTCAACGTCAAGGTACACATGGTTCTCACCTCGCTGAAAACGAGAAAAGAAGAATTATCCATTTCGATGCAATGTGAGCAAGTGCTTCGATCGGCAACAAATAACAATACCTTCCAAAAGCATAAAGGTCACAGGACGTAGTTTTCAGATCGTTTATTATCGTTATGACAAATCTTCCGCAGATGAGACTCGATGTAAAATCAATAGGTCTTAAGAATTTATGAAATGAAAGATGGACCAAGATATATTTTTTTCCATGAAATTAAAATTCTCAACGTGGAATGTCCTTCTAATATAAATTTCATATCATTTACTGTATATCTTATTTGTGTTACTGTCACAGTAGTCTGTGATTCAATTAGTCTGAAGATTGCGGGTTTGAATCGCAGATTCGCCTTGATTGTGATACTGATCTGTCAGCACCATTCGCGTGTTCGTGGTACATATTATACGTCAATGCCAGAGATTAACCTGTCTCGATTATCCAATCAGATTCCATTGGGCGTAAGGCAAAATAGCGTTGAAAATTATATGAATGGATCACTGAAAACAGTGATATCATCAGGTGTTCGAGAAATGGGTAGGCTTGGGTTGTCCTAACGGTAGCACCCGCCAACTAACGGGATCGGGTGGTCAGGCTCGCTGGCTTGGTTGATGCATGTCATCGGTCTCAATGGATCGATGCTCATGATACCCATCACTGGACTGTCTGGTCCAGACTCGATTATTTGCAGACCGCCGTTATATAGCTGGAATATTGCTCAGTGCGGCGTTAAACAACCAACCTCCAAACTTACACACGTTGCATGAGAAACTCGTGAATAATGTATGTTACCTTGTACTTCCGGTAGAGAGAAGTAGAGACTGGCAGGACGCGGTGCACGTGGGAGTGAATGTAAGACCGCTTGATACAGGTACCTAGAACCGGTCCCCAGTCCGGAGAATATTTCACGGAACACCATCTGAAAGAAAGTATTTCAAACAGGTTTTATCGTGATTCGACATGTCTTAATGGCTCTGAATCTACAATATTTGCATATTTAAATGCTACAATTGTTAAGCTTTGCTTGCGCAAAAAGACCAATAAACTCTCTGATTTATGGGTATGCCTAATAGAGTGAGTGATTTAAAATTTAATATTTACCGTCGCATCGGCATTATTTCAGCCATATAGTGACTGGGTATGCTTGAGCGTGAGTGAGTGAGTGAGTTGGGTTTTAACGCCGCTTTTAACAGTATTCCAGTCATATCACGGCATGTCAGCTTAATGTGGGAGGAAAGCCCGAAGTGATGCAGGTCTCAGACGTTTACCACTTCGGTGAAACCCACTAGCACGGGTATGGTGCTGACAAACCTAGAAACATAATCGGGGCAAACCGGGATTCGAACCCACGATCATAGGTTTCTGGCATGCCCAAGACGCAATCCTGCACAGCGAATCGCGGCGCCTTAGACGATTGATCCACTCGTGTCCCCGGATATGCTTGAGGGCCAGACCTCCGTCATATAGCTGGAATATTGCTGAGTGCGGCGTAAAACAACAAACAAACACATGATCAGGTGAGTAGGTGAACATTCTCTCTAACATCCAAAGATCATTGTCACAGCTGAACGCAGGGAAATACGTTGCGGATTACTTACGTTGTCGTCTGCTCCCTGGAATGTATTTCTTGAGAGATCAAATATTCTACAGAACCTTGTTGTATCTTCAGCTGGACCAATGACCTTCCTCACACGCAGCAGAAACCCTCTGAGGTGCCGGATGTCTGCAATGCAGGTATGGACTCTGAGCAAGTAATACATTTGTCTCCCTGCTAAAATAAACATTCCACTCAAGTAACAGAATACTACTTTTTATTACATTTTCGGTGGTCGCTTGGAAAAATTCGAACGTGCTGCCGTAAGGATTGGAACATATAAGTTGTCTTTAGTCAACGAACCTCCTCATATTAGTTTGAAAATGAATAGTGAGTGAGTTGGGTTTAACGCCGCTTTTAACAGTATTCCAGTTATATCATGGCGTGTCAGCTTAATGTGGGAGGAAAGCCCGAAGTGATGCAGGTTTATCACTTCGGTGAAACCCACGAGCACAGGTATGGTGCTGACAAACCAGGAGACATAATCGGGGCGTGAAAATGAATAAGTAGTAGTAGTAGTAGTAGTAGTAGTAGTAACATAATCGGGGCGTGAAAATGAATAAGTAGTAGTAGTAGTAGTAGTAGTAGTAGTTTGATTTATTAATCTCTTGCCAAGATTCCTTAGTGGGCGCTTCAAATCTTCGGATAAAAAACTGGATTACGTCACACACACACACACACACACACACACACACACACACACACACACACACACACACACACACACACACACACACACACACACACACACACTCACTCACACACTAACACGTACACACTCACACTTCAAAACTTCGGATAAAAAACTGGATTTCGTCACACAAACACTCACACACACACGGCGTTGACGTTATAAATTAATATCAATCACTGGATCGTCACACACACACACAAACACACACTCACACACACACACACACACACACACACACACACACACACACACACACACACACACACACACTCACACACTAACACGTACACACTCACACTTCAAAACTTCGGATAAAAAACTGGATTTCGTCACACAAACACTCACACACACACGGCGTTGACGTTATAAATTAATATCAATCACTGGATCGTCACACACACACACAAACACACACTCACACTCACACACTCACACTTCAAAACTTCGGATAAAAAACTGGATTTCGTCACACACACATTCACACACACTCACACTCACACACACACACACACGGCGTTGACGTTATGAATTAATATCAATCACTGGATCGTCTGCCCCAGGATTTATTATTTACAGACCGCCGTCATATAACTGGAATATTCCTGAATGCGGCGTTAAACAAAAAACAAACAAACAAAATAACAAGACGCCATCATATTGCTGGACTATTCCGGAGTGGGCGTAGCCGTGTTATAATAATGTGACACGCTGCGACACACCGGGTACACAAAGCAGCGTTAAGCCGAAACTCACTCACTCACTCTTGTTGCAAGTCGTAATTACTAAATAAACTCCTTCTCTGAATCCTGGGACAGCCGTAGCTGCTTCCTTGTTAGATTTGCCGATACCAACATTTACGCATTAAACTTTGACATTGTCACTAAGTGCGTTGTAGCATCGCCCACAACGTCATGTCACATTGAGTCATCCTTGTAAACACGAAGGGCGAGTCAGATTGCATCCTCGGCGACGATCTCGTGAAAGATAACACTGAAATATTCTGACCGGAATACCCCCTGGGAAGGTACGTAAGTCCAGTATCATTCAAGGTATCATTTCCTTTCTCTGTGATTTTAATCGTAGTATTCTTGTTGATTTTAACTCTTTGGCTAATCTGTCTGATAATCGCCAGTGGCCAGAGGGATGGTGTAAATCCTGCTGGGGTACCATGTAGGTAGCAGAAGTACCGTAAGCCCCCATGGTCCCTAGTATGGTGGCCTAACTTTGGTTGCTGGCGATCTACAGCCCGTTTTTATATTGTATTGTTTGAATTGTATCTGATTATTTTATTGCTCTAAAACTAGTTTTAAAATTATAATCTGTGATATATTGCTGGTTGTTGTACTGTCCTTCGATGACAGCTTTTAATATATAATATCAATGCCTAACTTGTTCAAGTCACGATATGGCTGAAATACTGCCGATGTGACTTTAAATATTAACTCACTCACTCACACTGACCGGAATACGTCGGCACAAAATGAGATTCTGTATGGTTGACGTCGCCCTTGCAGTCTTCTGAGTCTCTGTCGGCGGATTGTATATAAACCTGTGATTGATATTACGACAACGCCCCTCGCCATCTGGTTCCGATGACACGCAATCAACCAAGCCTGACCACCCGATACAATAATTGCCCCGTACAAAAACCATTGGTTGCTGGCAACTTGGTTATTTAACAGATGTTAACAAATATGTGGTGTTTTGTGCTTGCGGTGTTATTAACAAATAGTTTACCTGATGTAGGTGGCTTCCATGTGAGAACCGCCACTGGTACCAATCCCACCGTTTTGTTAATTACGACATAATCCACCCTGAAGTCCCTTGCTCCTCCAGCTGAGATTCCATTAAATTTGGCAGGTAAATGTCCATATTCTGCAATGAAAGAAAAGTGAGGTGGGAAGAAATGGGGTTTCACGCCGCGTTCCAGATTACTGCACTTATTATTATAGCGACGTGCATGCACGTGTGGTGTGGTGTGTGGCTGCTTGTACTGGTTCGTACTAATGTCTTTCTGTAGTGCTAGCCCACCGATATACCATGCCACAGTTTAACATGAATACCCCACTCAGACGTAGTATACTGACTCCGACTCTGACTCCGACACTGACTCTTGTTTTATCCCCTTAATGCCGAGCACCAGGCAGCGTAACAACAAGTACCATCTTTTAACGTCTTTTGGCGGAATTACCGACCTTCCGCTCTCCGGGCAGATGCTCTATCTACTGGACCACGGAGGCGGTCTCCTGGCAGATGCTCTATCTACTGGACCACGGGACGGTCTCCGGGCAGATGCTCTATCTACTGGACCACGGAGGCGGTCTCCGGGCAGATTCTCTATCTACTGGACCACGGGACGGTCTCCGGGCAGATGCTCTATCTACTGGACCACGGAGGCGGTCTCCGGGCAGATGCTCTATCTACTGGACCACGGAGGCGGTCTCCGGGCAGATGCTCTATCTACTGGACCACGGAGGCGGTCTCCTGGCAGATGCTGTATCTACTGGACCACGGGACGGTCTCCGGGCAAATGCTCTATCTACTGGACCACGGAGGCGGTCTCCTGGCAGATGCTCTATCTACTGGACCACGGGACGGTCTCCTGGCAGATGCTCTATCTACTGGACCACGGAGGCGGTCTCCGGGTAGATGCTCTATCTACTGGACCACAGAGGCGGTCTCCTGGCAGATGCTCTATCTACTGGACCACGGAGGCGGTCTCCGGGTAGATGCTCTATCTACTGGACCACGGAGGCGGTCTCCGGGCAGATGCTCTATCTACTGGACCACGGAGGCGGTCTCCTGGCAGATGCTCTATCTACTGGGCCACGGGACGGTCTCCGGGCAAATGCTCTATCTACTGGACCACGGAGGCGGTCTCCGGGTAGATGCTCTATCTATTGGACCACGGAGGCGGACTCCGGGTAGATGCTCTATCTACTGGACAGCGGGACGGTCTCCGGGTAGATGCTCAATCTACTGGACCACGGAGGCGGTCTCCGGGCAGATGCTCTATCTACTGGACCACGGAGGCGGACTCCGGGTAGATGCTCTATCTATTGGACCACGGAGCCGGTCTCCTGGCAGATGCTCTATCTACTGGACCACGGAGGCGGTCTCCTGGCAGATGCTCTATCTATTGGACCACGGAGGCGGTCTCCGGGCAGATGCTCTATCTCCTGGACCACGGAGGCGGTCTCCGGACAGATGCTCTATCTAGTGGACCACGGAGGCGGTCTCCGGACAGATGCTCTATCTATTGGACCACGGAGGCAGTCTCCGGGCAGATGCTCTATCTACTGGACCACGGAGGCGGTCTCCGGACAGATGCTCTATCTATTGGACCACGGAGGCGGTCTCCGGGCAGATGCTCTATCTACTGGACCACGGAGGCGGTCTCCGGAGAGATGCTCTATCTACTGGACCACGGAGGCGGTCTCCGGGCAGATGTTTGTATTTTGGTTTTCACGCCTCTTACGACAAGCATGGGCTGCTGGTACCAATTCTGACCCTGAATCCGGATCGAGAGAGTAAAATAAAGTATGACTCAGTGTTGGAATATGACAAAATAGACCCAAGGGAAAGAGCAATCATAAGGAAGTAATATTTATTTGTTTGGTTATATGTTTGTTTGTTGTTTAACGTTGCACCCAGCAATAGTCCAGCTATATGACGGTGGTCTGTAAATAATCGAATCTGGACCAGACAATCAAGCCACTAACACCATGAACAATGATCTACGCATTTGGGATACGACGACATGCATCAAACAAGTCAGCGAGTCTGACCACCCGATCCCGTTGGTCGCCACCTACGACAAACATGGGTTGCTGAAGACCTATTCCACCCAGGATCTTCTCGGAGTACAAGAATGGGTTGCTGAAGACCAGTTGTAACCCGGATGTTCAGGGGTAAAAGGACGTTGTGAGGCAATTAGGAACTCACCATCAGACTCGATGACATCACAGCTGATCATGCGTCTCTGAAAGACAAGGAAGCTGAGTGATGTAAACATATTAAAGAGGAAATGCGTTTGGGCCAATTGGTAGTCGATCCCCGGCCGCGTCATACCAAAAGACGTTAAAAGACTGGTCGGCTCGGAGTCAGTATACTGTGTCTGAGTGGGGTATTCATGTTAAACTGCGGCATGGTATCTCAGTGAACTAGCACTATAAATCGGCATCAGTCCGGACTAGTACAAGCAGCCACACAAATACACATACGTACATGCACGTCGCTATATAAGTGCAATAATCTTGGACGCGACTTTAAAGCCCATTTCACCTCACCTTTTGTTTTAGGGATGTTTTCAAAACAATAAATTGTCTCAGAAAATGCTTGAAATTTTTTAGATTGTACGCCACTTTGTTGCAAGTCCTTTTCACACAAACATATTTAGGCTTATAGTTTTCATTTAACAAAAATATGGTTTGGCAGCTGTAGCCGAAATAATATCAAGTCTCCATATAAATGGTCGGTCCCTAACTGAAATAGTTGTAAAAGCTCCGTTAAACCCAACTCACTCACTCACACATGCGTGACATACAGTACTCACAGATGTGCCCACGACTTCCAGTGTATCCTGTCGTCCAGCGGTGTCCCCGGAACAGTTGCCTGTGATGTGCATTGCTTCCATGCACCATGAGACCCGGAGGAGGAGGAGGAGGAGGAGGAAAACAAATGCTCCAGGAGAACACACAGTCGCCATCTCAAGGCAGCAGTGGTGTGGTGAGAGATAGTGCAGTACTTATATACAACCATGTGGGAACAAATCTCATCAGACAGTTGCTTCCTGGTTCAATTCCGTACAGACAGATCTGATATTACCAGATATGAACGGATCCACACAGAAATTCAGTGTACTGCTTCCTGTGAAATGCTTCACTATCGCAAATACACAAGGGTCCTGAAAGGTTTTGCAAAGTTGGTTTATGTAGTTAGTGAGTGAGTGAGTTGGGGTTAACGCCGCTTTGAACAGTATTCCAATGATATCACGGCGTGTCAGCTTAATGGAACAGGAAATCCCGATGTGATGCATATCTCAGACGTTTAGCAGGTATATGCAAATATTTTGTTTGTTGTTTAACGCGTCACTCTTCAAAATTCCAGCCATATGACGGCGGTCTTTAAGTAATTGAGTCTGGACCAGACAATTCAGTGATTGACATCATGAGCATCGATCCAAGCAATTGAGATACGATGGCACGCATGAACCAAAGCAACGAGTCTGAGCACCATATCCCGGTTGATGCATGTCATCGTATCCCAATTGCTTGGATCGATGCTCATGATGTCAATCACTGGATTGTCTGGTCCAGACTCGATTTATGAATAAGATACATCATGATCTTATGTAAATAATGGCACCTATTTTGGAAACAATGAAATTATTTTTTCATCTTGGTAAGAGTAATCAACGTATATAAATTTAATATTTCATATCTTTATTATCGTTATGGCTGAAATATTGCCGACGTGACCTAAAATTTAAACTCACATGTTCCATCTCATTTCCATCACAATGCATGGATGCTGCGGATACTGTGCATATGAACAGATCAAGTAATGTATCTCACATAGACCACAGACCGCCTCCGTGGTCTAGTGGTAGAGCGTCCGCCCGGAGAGCGGAAGGTCCGGGTTCGATCCCCGGCCGCGTCATACCAAAAGACGTTAAAAGATGGTACTTGTTGTTATCCTGTCTGGCGCTCGGCATTACGGGGCTAAAACAAGGACTGGTCGGCTCGGAGTCAGTATACTGTGTCTGAGTTGGGTATTCATGTTAAACTGTGGCATGGTATCTCAGTGAGCTAGCACTATAAATCGGCATCAGTCCGGACTAGTAACAAGCAGCCACACAAACACACACACACACGTACATGCACATCGCTATATAAGTGCAATAATCTTGGACGCGACGTTAAACCCCATTTCACCTCACCTCACAGAGACCACCTAATGGCTCTCATCCAATGGGAGTTCGTGATTGGGAGTGTGGTACAATTACATCTGACAGTGTACCATTCACACAGACGCAGGGCCACGGGTTTGAGTGCCGTTTCTGCGAACTGTTCACTGTACACGGATAAGCTATTGTTCGAGCTCGAGTTTTTGGCCCCGCCCTGTGGCAGACAGAGGTCACGTGACATTCTGGCTGAAAAGGAACAGCAGTGAAAACAATCTGATATCACGTCTGCATCCCGACATAAGTGTTGTCACTTATCATCTAACGGGATATCATCTTGTCCCGATCGCATGCAACGAAGCTTGAAATTCTGGATTAATAGTTTGGTTTGTGCATAGAAAGACTAGTCAGGTCTTCAGACAATCCAGTGATTAATATCATGAGCATCGATCCACGCAATTGGGATACGATGACATGTTTCAACCAAGACAGCGAGCCTGACCACCCGATCCCGTTAGTCGCCTTTTACGACAAGCATAGGTTGCTGAAGACCGATTCTACGCCGGATCTTCACGGGTCCCCAGGAAAGATGAGCTCACGTTAATGTTATGGATTCGGAAAGTGTTCATGATGTTATGTGTGGATATTTTTAAACCTTAAAGTAACATATTTTCTTTGTACACATTGTATGAAATACCCTCTTTAATATACGGTGGCCCATAGAACATGGAGTCTGTTTTTCAATATTTTGATATTTCACTTACTGTTATCATAACCTTTTGCAAATTAACACGATTTGTCATACAAATATGTGATAAATCATGTATAAAGTAGATACTGAATCGTTGAAAAGTGAAGCAAAAATGTCAAAAACTAAAATGAAAATGCCAAAAACAGAAACGAAAAGGTCAAAAACTAAAATGAAAACGATAAAAGTAAGTGAAAAATCAAAATATTGAAAACA